GAAGTGATGCAACGTGTGGCTCAACCCCTGAGTCCTTTGACTTCAAAGCAAGGAGATGCTGATGACAAGTGTTTGGTCCCTACTTTTACAGGATGCTTATCAGCTTAATTATACCACTAGGGTACACTTTCACTGGTGGATCTCTGCACATGGCTGTTTTTATTCCAGAAGAGTTAGTTATACTGATGTAACTATGTAGGCATAATTATTGATGTAATTATCTGTGGCCTCCTGTGTCTCTGGGTTGGCAGAGGCTGGATGCGTTTCAGAAAGCTGATGCTGATGAAGCTTGTGAGATCACAGCCTTTCTTTGGGAATGGCTTCATCTCTGTGTGCAGTACAGGCAGTTCCTTTGTGATTCACTGTAATATAACACTCACTGACCATCTACCCAATATTGTGGGAAAAAGAGCAGAAAGGGACCACAAAACACAGCCAAGTCCTTCTTCCCCCTGCACTTCATTTCAAAGACTTTAGTCCAGCCTGACCTTAAAAGTCCTTTAATGCTAGGGAATGTAGGCATTCCCTGGGTTTTCAGTGCTGGGTCTCCACCTCTGATTTTGTCTGCAGTTTGTGTTAAGTTTTAGGCAGGTAATGTTTTTGCCTACAGCTCCTACAAACTGATTTTTGGAATAAAGCATCCCCATTACCAGTCCCTGGTAATCTTTGTTAGTGTTGCATTGAACCTGACCCCGTCCCTTTCTACTTACTGAGGGTCATGGAGTTATTTCCTAAGTGGTTTCTCTGGAGTTAGTCTGGATTTACACCAATGTGAGAGTAGGCTTTATCTCTGTGTGTACATAGCACTTCTTAGCATCCACAGCATTAATGTGCTCAGCCCTTTGGAAAGCCACTCAGTGTATTATCTTGGTTTTACTGGCACAGAGCAACGAACAGAAATGATTTGCCAAGGACATGCCTGGAACTAGGAGCAAAGCCCTCTGCTCAAGATTAAAACAAAAACAAAAACAAACAAACAAACCACTTAGTCCTGTGCTTACCGAAAGTCCTAGTTTGCTAGGCGGCATTGCTGTTGTCTGTGTCCCAGATAGACTGTATGAATTTTAAATGGGACTTTGGTGCTGTTTTTTAACTTGCTCAGGGATTAGCTGGCTTGCCTTTGGCCATTTGTCCCATGGTGGACATGGTTATGATGCAGTGCAGATCCTACAAAGCAGGGCCAGGCATCAGCCTAGTTCCCAGCAAGGCAGGTCTCACTATTACAGGCCCACCTTGAGAATTCATGGGGCTCTGAAGTTGGGAGTGTCATCAAAGGCCATGGACATGAACCTCTCTTGCCTGAGTTCCTCCACACCTTAACCCTGACAGTGGTCATCACAATAATCAAGAAGCCACAGCATGGAGGGGTCCAGAAGGGTCTAAAAAAATCTGCACCGCAGGTTGCAAAGGACTTCTTGATACCCAAAAAGCAGTGACCCTTAGTAAAAGGCTGCCAGTTACAATTACTGGGTAGCACAGGAATAATGGAGGTCATGTTGCCTGTATTCCAGGCCCTTGCAGGAGCAGGGATTTTGTTAGATGGTATTTCCAAATGATCCTGAAGGCAGGCCATACCCTGCACTATGGAGGCAGGCAAAAAATACTTGATATTTCCTGCTAGTGTCCCCCAGGGAAGGAGGGGTTCAGCCTGCTGGGTAGTTTAATCCTGAGCACACTGGAAAGACATATGCATGGGATACTTGAGGGGCCGTGTGATGAGGCAGCCTGCTCTGAAACAGCTGATCTGCTCAGAGGGAGGGAGAGCCTCTGTGTACAGAGCACTTCTCTAGTGCCTTTTCCTGCTGCTGGAATCAGGAAACAGCAAAGGGAAGGGACAAGAATTGCACCTGGTAGTTTCCTGGATTACTATTTAAAGAAGCACCAAGTACATCCTCTTCCCTCCAGTCTAAACCTCCATTGCTTCTTGCCTTTTCCTTGTGAATGTCCTTCTGAATATCCTTCCTGCTCCTTCAGAGGTATGTCATTCCTCCTTGATGGCACCCCGCTGCTGCATTACTGCAGGGTCTTCTGTCTCCTGTCTGTCTGACTTTGCTACTCCTGCTCTAAACTGCCCAAGGGGCAGTTTTTACATCTTATTTCTCCCAGCCATTCCCTGCTCTGTGGCATCACCTGCTGACCTGACCCTCAGCTCCTCATGTCCCTTGGCTGGGACCCCCAGTGCCCACCAGCACCTTCACTCCTATCCTTTCTCCCCAGCCCCACTCCTGGCCTGCAGCAGTGTACTGGGTGTTTGCCATGGTGTCACCACCATGCACTGAAGGTCTGCATTATAGATCAAAGAGCATTAATTAGGATTGTGCTGAGTGTATCTGAGCTCATCAGGCTTGCTACGAGGTGGGGTTTGACACCATCAGGCTGTAATTTTCCACACTCTGGAAACCTCTTTTTTCTGCTTCCAGAGTATCCTCCTGCTATATGGGACCTACTTGGCCGGTCTGACCGACAACATCAGCTCCTCACCAGTCAACCAGTCCTTGACACTCATTGTTGGAGTTAACCTCGTTTTCCTGGCTGCTGGCACTATCTGCTTAGTTCACCGTTTCTTCCGTACTTGGCACAATTTGCTGTTTGGTTTTACCTCTGGAGGCATCTTCGTGTGTACAACCACGATCAACTGCTTCATCTTTATCCCCCAGGTATGGTGCCACCTCTCTCCCATCACTTGGCTGGAAATCGGGCACGTTTTCGGAGTTTAACTACAGCAGCTCTCCGGGCCAAAGCACTTACTTTCCTGCTTTTTTTCCCAAGTGTTTGGGGTCATCTGCACAGCTCATCTTCCAAGCCCCTCCAGTGGCTCTGCTTCCCCGGGCAAGTTCCCGGAGTCTCATAGAATCATAGAATGGTTTATGCTGGAAGGGACTTTAGAGATCATCTAGCTCCAACACCTCTGCCACAGGCAGGGAATCTTCCACTAGACCAGGTGGCTCCAAGCCCCATCCAGCTTGGCCTTGAACACTGCCAGGGATGGGGCATCCACAGCTTCTCTGGACAGCCTGTTCCAGTCTCTCACCACTCTCATAGAGAAGAATTTCTTCCTTATATCTAATTGAAATCTGCAGTTTAAAGCCATTCTCCCTTGTCCTATCACTATGTGTCCTTGTAAAGAAACTTCTCCAGCTTTTTCATAGGCCTGTTTTAAGTCCTGGAAGGTCTCCAAGGAATGCAAGTGTGCTGCAGAGCTGCTGCTCAGGAGCCCTCCTGCAGGAGTGTGCCTCAGGTTGCAGCCACACAAACAGCACATGTGGAGGCAAAGCGGGTCCTGGCCTCCTCATCCTCATCCTCAGCTTCATGCAGTTGTCCTCTCATACTTCATGCTCCCAATCCCAGCAAGAGTTTCTGCCTATGGCAGGGCTGGAGCCAGGCTCAGGCCATCCAGATAGCCTTGCCAGGCTCAGAGACTTCTTTGCTGCTGGTGATCCCCAGGGGAGGCTGTCCTCCTCTGCACTCTTGGAGAAGGAAGCTGGGCTTTGCCACAAGTGAGGAGGAGGAGGTGGAGATGTTTGAAGGAAGCCTTTTGTGGTGAGGCTCAGCTCTTCTGCTTCCCATGTCTTCCAGGAGCAGCTTGGTGTGCCTGGGCACCACATCTGTGGGAATAATGGTCCCATTGTTACAGGGAGAGGAAATAGTTGTTTACTCAATTAAATGTTTGGAGGGATGTTTGGGCTCAAGGACATGAGGTGAGAAAGGGAGGAAGAGGTGAAGCTGAAGAAAGAGCACATCTGTGCAAGGGAAGGCTCAAGGGATCTCAGCAATGTATATAAATACTGATGGGGGTGGAGTGGGGAAGGGGGAGCCAGGCTCTTCTCAGCAGTGTCCACTAACAGGACAGGGGACAATGGGCACAAATCGAAACACAGGAAATTCTATTTAAACATAAGAAAAAGGTTGAGGTTTTTTCCTATGAAAGTTGTAGAACACTGGAGCAGGTTGCCCAGAGAGGTTGTGGAGCCTCTGTCCTTGAAGATACTTAAGGCCCAGGTGGACACAGTCCTGGGCAGGCTGCTCCAGCTGACCTTGTTTGAGCAGGGTGGTTGGACTAGATGATTTCCAGAGGTACCCTCCTACCTCAGTTGAGGCAGTGTAACTTCTGAGTCCCAACCCCATAGATGAGCTGCCTCTGGGAACACGGATCCAAACCCCCTCTGACAAGCACCAAGCCTGCTGACAATGCTCTGCCAAGCACCAGGTCTCCCAAACTGAGGGTGGAGGAGCTGTACTTGTGCTCAGCCTGTGCCATTTTTCTATGAGAGCCTGGGGCCCTTGAACATTTTATTTAACTTGGATCTTTTAATTCATTACCTTGTTTTTCCTAATGAACTTGTTCTTCTATTGCTCATCCGAGATCGATAAGCAGCTGGAGCTGGGCTGCACAACCTTCCATGCAGACACTAGATGAGAAAACAGATACTAAGCATTGCTGGTGCTCAGCTTGTCACCAGTGATTCAGGGATAAAGGGGCATGCGTGACACTGTCTTTGTCACAGAGTCAGGGAGGGGGGAGAAGAGGGAGGGGACTTTTACAGCATGCTTAAAGGTTTTAGTGCAGGCAGGCAATGACCCTCTCTGCATTAAAAGCTGCAGCCGGGGACAGGGTAGGACTCGGGTGGGAGGCTCCAAGTGACACTGCAGCCCCTCGCCCAGCCATCTCTTGGTGTCTGCTCCCCGTCACACCCTGCCTTTGTCTCCCCCTCTCCATCCCTTTGTCTCCTTTGCGCTTGAGCTGTGCCTGCCTCCCGCCCTGTCTGCTGGGGCTCTGCAGATAACACCCTCTTCTACTCTCCAGCTCAAGCAGTGGAAAGCCTTTGAAGAAGAAAGCCAAACCGTGAGCCACATGGCGAAATATTTCACCAGCCCGAGCAGGAGCTGTCGCTCAGTGTACAGCGAGGAGCAGCTCTACCAGCTGATAGGGGAGAAAAACTCCATGAAGCGGCTGCTCACCGAGGTACAGGGCTCTGCCAGGACCCTCAACTGCACCAGCTTCTCCCTTTCCCTTTGGTGGCCTGAAGGCTCTGCAGGGTGGGAAACCCTTCTTTACACCCCTGTCCACACTGGTGATCCCTCATCAGCCTCTTCTGTCCTGAAGGGAAGAGCTGTTTTGTTTTCTCACATCACTTTGCCCCCCAAAGCACCAAAATTTAGGCATGATCTGGAGGGGTTGAAAAAATATGTAGGGAGAAGTGCAGGAGAGGCTGGTTCCCACAGCCTAGTCAAACATGGCTAATTTAGAGGGGAGATGCTCTGTCTCAGAAAAGCCCCTAAGCTCCTACTCCCACACCTGCACTGCATAGGCAGAAGCACCCTAGCTTGGAGAGCTGCCTGCCCCAGTGACCCCTTTCCTGCACCCACACGGGGAGCTCCAGGGCAGGATGAGGTCACACACACTGCCAGTGTGGCTCTTGCCATGCAGAGAGGGGTGATGTGCTCTCCAGCAGTGCCTGCTTCCAAACTGGCAGTGTTGTTGTACCCTCTGCCTGCCCTGCGCTTGACAGGCTGATTTGTTTGACACAGAAAAACGCCGTGATCGAAAGCCTGCAGGAGCAAGTGAGCAGTGCCAAGGAGAAGCTGATGAGGCTGATGTCTGCAGAGAGTGGCTCTGACCCCCGTGTGCTGCCAGCAGCTTCCTGCTCTGCACCCTCAGGGCAGCACAGGGATGCACCAGGCGACCACTGCCCCCCGGATCCAGAGCAGGATGGGTGTCAGCCTCCCTGTCCGCTGGGGACACCACCTGTTTGCAGCAGTGCTCAGGCCCTCCAGAAAGATGACACTCCAGAGCCCGTTTGCTCTCAAGTGCTGCTTTTTAACACAGGGGACAGCACTGAAGGTGACCTGAAAGCTCAGGGCAGCACAGGGATGCACCAGGCGACCACTGCCCCCCGGATCCAGAGCAGGATGGGTGTCAGCCTCCCTGTCCGCTGGGGACACCACCTGTTTGCAGCAGTGCTCAGGCCCTCCAGAAAGATGACACTCCAGAGCCCGTTTGCTCTCAAGTGCTGCTTTTTAACACAGGGGACAGCACTGAAGGTGACCTGAAAGACGTCCAGGAGTGTGAGACACCTGCAGGGCAGGGGCAGCCTCTGGAGCAGCTGCCAGGCCAGGCCAACTCAGCTGGTGTAGCCTGGGAGTCAGCCCACAAAGTCAGCTATGTGAGCAGTGAGAAGCTGCGGGAAATATTGCAAGAGCTAAGCTTGGATGGCAGAAACTACAGCTCGGCCTCACCTATGGGACCCCGACTGGGCAGCCGAGGCACCCCAGGGGAGCAGGGAGAAACGTGGCAGGGCAAGGAGGACTACCCAGGCATCCACACCCCCCTCAGCCCCTACCTGGCGAGGCGACGCCGGAGGATCCTGTTGCCCCCTGCCTCCACCAACTTCCCTGGACATGTATCCCCTCGTGCCAGCCACAGGGCAAAGGAGGTGGGCGGCTGGGGCCGTGGAGAGCCAGCACATATCTCCCTGGGAACAGAAGGGGAGATGGCTGGCAGAAAACCCCTCC